TGAGCATGAGGAAGACATTGTAAGGAAATGTCCTACTCTCTTTTCTTGTGTGTCACAGAACACTTAAGAATCCCTGATGGGTTTTGGAGAAATTTCTATAGAAACAGCAATAGAGATGGGTCAGCATCAGCATGAGTGAGAAAAGTCAGGGCAGGTCTTGAAAGCTTTACACTAGTCAGGAAGATGAGGGCCTTAATAAAAAAAAATCACTTCAAGTGGCCCATGACACAGAAATGAAAGCAACAGGATAGGTCTGGGAGGCAGAGTTTGGGAGAAGAAAGCAGATGAACAAGAGCTAAAAATGTTTTTTCCCCTAAGCACACCACCCATTATTGACTCCTGCTTGTAGTCAGCTTTAATGAATGATCTACATTACTCCAGAAAGAAGTTGTCCATGCTTCCAGTTTCTGATCTCCACTTTTTCCAGTATTGGAAACTCTGCGGACTGGTTAGATAGACAATGCTGGGTGACATGTAAGACAGGTTAAAACAGCGACGTGATAAATCTGATGAACAATTAGAGACTTCCAATCCTGGTGTGGCGCTGTGGGCTAATGTGTCAGACTGCAAAGTCATTTGAACTGAAAGGTCAGTGGTTCAAGCTCACCAGCTGCTCCTTTGAAACTCTATAGAGGGTTGCTATGCGTCAGAATTGACTCGACCGTACTTAACAACAACAATACAAATATAAATTTACTAAAGCAGGAGGTTTTCATTGTCCAACAAACAGGAACTGATGAGTGGGACCAACAATCAAAACTAGAATGCTTTTGTAAATAACTCTTTATGCTTCACATTATCTCCTTTTCATTATTCCTTTTCTGTGTTTCCATGATTTACCCAGCTAAGAAACTAGAGATCAACAAAGTTCACAACATATCAGGGATAAATCACCCCTGAACAACTAACCCAGTGCTTCAGACTTCAAAGTCAGTTTAAGTATCAGGTCTGGAAGGAAACGAACATCTGAGGTCCACTGAAATAAACAACAGCCAGCGAGCCCTGGAGGGGGACAGGAGCTTCAAGTGGGCTCTGATTCATTTTTTTCACTAACATCTCTTTCTGACATTCATATGTGGGTGTGAGCACATCTCCCACATTCTTTAAGTCATGAAAAATGCCTGAATTTCCCTGAACTCCAAACCCTAAAGCCTCCTATACGTGTCAGACCGTTTTTTTTTCAAAAGGAAAATGTAAAGTGAGCATTTTCTATTTTAGACTAGAAGAGGGATAAGGAAAATAAGTAAAAATTCTGAGTAACAGATTTTCTAGAAAATGTAAGTTTTAATCAAAGACATAAACTGAAAATGAATAACTGAATATTCCGAGCAGTTTCTCCTGGACTTTCTATAGTGAATAAAAAATACTGATTTATAGCTTCAACATTCTTTTGAATATATGGCTAAAGCTTTATAAAATTTTTTTCACCAAAAGAGACTGCCCATGAGCAGGGATAGATTACCCACTAAGCAAGGTAAGTGTGTGTTTCAGGCATCAACAAAACAAATACATCAGTTGTCCAAAGCACAGACCAATAGATGCCCAGCAGACCAGATACAAGGAAAAGCAAGCACTATAGTGGGAGGGGCCTAGGAGGACACTAGATGAAATTGGTATCAGCTCCAGTGCATGAGAAAATGTGCTGGCCAGAAATAAAAGCTCACACAGGTCACGAGCAGGGTACCCACATGCACAGCTGTGTAAGCTATGAAGCCCTGGCCACTTCAACACCTTCATTGACATTTGTCTTTTGTGATCCCATCCAATGCAATTGAAACTCCTTAACTCGGCAGGTTTCTTGGGAGTATATTATTTCTTTCTAATAAACAACAGGTGAGTGTTGGATGTCAAGTTTAACTTATGCTACATTTATCCCATATACAAATGAATCCACCATGAGTGTTTACTGGGCAAGGATGGGTTATATTAATAGATAACAGATCTCTGAACCGTTTTGAGAACCATCTTGCATATCCATGTCTGCTGATACAGCAATTCCAACTAGGAGGGCCAACAATGCTCTTTGCCATGATACAGACACAATAGCATGCTCTTGTGCATGGACTGGTAAATAGCCAATGGGGACTCTAGTTCCAGATAACACTCAAAAGCAAGGGAACTTCGAATAAGTTGACCACTGCAATGAATTCAACCAAGCTACTTTTTAATTATATAGCATTTTACATAGAGTTATAAGTTTTGTAAACAATAATATTTATAACCTTAACTTTAAAATGTGGTAAGCATGTGGATGCAATCTCAGCATACATTTAATGCTGGTAAGTGCTGTTGATTCGGTTCTGATTCATAACGCACCTGTACAAAGTTCTGAGGAGTGGCTGGTGGATTTGAACCACCAACCCTGTGGTTTAAGTCCAGTCCTTATCCTTCAGTGCTATACCAGGACTCCTTATTATAATAGTAACATGGGTAATAATTTAATATGATACTACTATAACAAACATCTAAAATATTATTACTGTTCTATGAAATATTTCTTTAGGCAAAAAAGGTTTAAGTATCATGTGAGTTTCATTTTCTGTTGTATGTTGCACAGGACATAATGCTTAACACTACTAATTTTTAATTTACAATTATAGCATTTATTCTAAAACAAGTATCAAAATGGAAGTATGAGCCATTTAAACAAAACTGGAAAAGTCAATTTTTGGTTGTGGGAGATAAACAGAATTTTACATTGATTGTTGAAATGACTAAGTTAACGGACTCATTTTCTTTGTTGTAGAATATATGTAATATTCTTTTTATTCTTCTTATAGAAAATGTGGTATACAGTAAACATTTTAGCAACCCACATCCACTAAAAATTTATTATCCAGTTTATCTCATTCTGCTAAAATAGCATATACCACTTTTGCATTCAATTGCTAATATTATGTTCTTGTTAAGTGATGTCAAGTCAGTTTGACTCATAGCTACCCTGTATAATGTTTCCAAGAAGTGGCTGCTGGGTTAGAACCGCTGACTGTGGGGCCAGCAGTCCAGGGTTTATCCTACAGCTAGCCTACAACAGGACTCATTACTTTATGGACTGCTAACACACAACACCAGCTGCTCCTTGGAAACCCTATACAGGGTCACTATGGGTCGGAACCAACTTGACAGTACTTCACAACAACAACACACACACAAGGAGGCTTTACAAAGTCTGCAGAAAAATGGAAATGAAAGATAATGAAAATTTCCACAAACTTTTGAAGCCCCCTCGAGATCCCATGTGGATGCACCGAGGTAAGCAGAGGAAGGGTACGCACGGCCCTCACAGGTCATACTCAAGCACTGCACATGAAATTTACATTGGAATCAATCTATTCAGCAAGAGCACTTCTAAGACAAAGCAAACCACCAGTCCAGCCTGAGTCATAAAAGGTTTTGACCCAGAAATGTAGACAAAATTCTACTACAAGTATTAATAAATGTTGGGGACAACATAAAACACAATAACTGAGAAGCTGAGGCCCTGTGACCTGGAAGAAAATCCAAACCCATGGCCCTCCTTAGTATTGACATAAAACGCAATTACTGAGAAGCTGAGGCCTTGCAACCTGGACGACAATCCAAACCCATGGCCCTCCTTGGTATTGTGAGCCATGAACCCTGAAGGGCCCAGGAAGTGACCTCCTGGGGTCCCGGGTTCATTGGTGTTTGTGAACTCACTGTTGGGCTACCTCTGTACAAGTCCTAATATTGTTCATTCTATGCTTCTAACTCCAGTAATTGTAGCTTCTGAGAAAATGGTTTTTATAATGCCTCTCTTAATGTCTCCACTGTGTTGGCAGTGAGTAGGGTCCTGGGAACGAATCTTTGTGAGGTACAAGCAATAGCCACCTGGGATGAGTGTCAGAACTGCTCCTTATTTGATTATTCAGTTATGTTTAATATTAACTTAGAACATGAACTCTTGGTACCCATGTAAAACTGAATTTCCCTCTAGAACTGAGATAGTAAAACTTCCTCAGAGGACGAACAAGGACAGGTTTACCGGGATTAAGCAGGGAGGTTCTGGAGAGGAACTGCCTGAGGTATTCACTTGAGGTGGAGTGGTAAATTCTGGGAATACTGGATTAAAGGACAATGGTGGCAACTCCCTCAGACTACCCTGGGTTTAATCAGTTTGATTCAGATGCTCTTCTTCCCCCTGAAGATATATGGAAATGTGATGATAGTGAACATTGTAGCATTTGGGTGTGGAATCCGGATAGAGGATAAGGAATGTGAAGGTGAGACCTCACCTTCTTGGAAAGGTTGTGATCCTTCTCTCACCTTCCCTGGAACTGTAGCAAGAAAGAATTACTAGTTTAACAAATAAAGCTAAATGTTTGAAATCCTGTTCAAACCCATATATTTTTTACTTGCAAAGTAGAGAAAAACAGCTTAAATCCCTTCAGAAATTATAAACCAACCTTTATATAAGCTTATAAGTCTTTCACCTTTACCTACTAGTGATTAAGTGTTAAAAGTATGTTAGACATCCTTTAAGCCTAAAGATTAATCTATAATAGCTTGCTTGAACCTTATCCTGTAGAAATAAAAATGTTAGATTGCTAACAAAATTGTTGTACCTAGAAAATATCTTAAAGGTTGTTCCTGTGAATCATTGTGTCCTGTCCTTGAATTTCTCCTTGAAAAAGTTAATAAAAGACTGGGGTAGAGATAGTTCTGCGTGCATTCTTGGCAGCAGGTCTATCGGCCTGTCAGCTTGTATCCACTCTGGTCTCCGAGTGTTTCTTTTCTCTCTTGCCCCTCCACACATCCTACCTAGAGTTACTTCTGCGTGCAATGTCTGCCCCCGAGCAGTCTGTCTGTCAGCTTGCATCAAACCTGTGTGTCTGTCTTCTTTGTGTTTGTTTTCTCTGTCTTCTTTGTGTCTGTTTTCTCTCTCTCTCTCGTCGCCAGACACCCCACCTTCGTGTACTCACCCCCTTGTCGAGGCCAGACACCGGCAAATAAATAAAATGACAACTGATCAATGTGCTCACCTCACATGACCTTTCTGCTTTCCCTTTAAGTTGTCCAAGTTCCTCCTTCAATTTTTCATTTTCATGACTCAAGGCTATTAAGCGCTCTTTGGCTTCTTTGCTTTGGATCTCAAAGAACTGGCGCTCTTCTTTCTGTTTCTCTGTCCAGGCAGAAAGCTCCTCAAACCGCCCTTTCATAGCTTGATTATTTAGCTTCATGGCCTCTGTATGGGGTGAAGAGCAAGGGTGTCACACACCAGGGGAGTGGACTTCATTTGATGAATCAAACATCCCTTTAGTAATCTACCACTACCTAGCTCTAAATCTAAAGCTGTCATGCTTGGCATGGGCCCAAGGGTTAGCAGGAAAAAGACTGTGTAGCAAGAGTAGTTTTGCTTCCACATAAGTTGGGTAGGTTCAATGTCAAAGCCCTAAAGAACAGAATTTATGTTGGTGTACCTACTATTGCACAGATACTAATAATTAGATTCAATCACTGGTTCTGCCAAAAGCCATGACTCAAGATATTAAAATGCTTTCTCTTAATGAGGTAATATTTAGGACTAACTCTACAACATCAGCAGCATTTTCTGGTGATGCAATGGATAAGTGCTCAGTGGCTAACCAAAAGGTTAGCAGTCAGATCACCAGCTGCTTCATAGTAGAAAGATGTGGCAATATGTTTTTATAGATTTCTCCCCAGAAAAACCAAACCTGCTACTGTCGATTCAATTATGCCTCATAACAGCCCATTAAGACAGAACAGAACCATGCCAGAGGGTTTCTGAGGCTGAAACTGATATGGAAATAGACTGCCACATCTTTCTCCTAAGGAGCAGCTGGTGGGTTCCCAACACTGACCTTAGGGTTAGCTGCCCCCCCAGGACTTCTTCCATCAGAATCACTGCCCAAGTCATCCTACTGGGCAGTCCTACTCTGTCCCACACGCTTGATAAGAATTAGAATTCACTCAAGGGCAATAGGGTTTCTTTCTCTTTTTAAATAGGTTAAATGTCCTTATGCTATTTCCCTATACGGTATTTTTAATTTTTACCTGTATGCTCTCCCTTCCCCCAGGGAACCAGGCAGAAAGGAGGGAGTTCACCCACAAGCCTCTTCACAAGGGGGTTACATTTCAAGAAGGCACAGGGTGCATGCAGAAACAAGGGGCCAGCTACAGCTCACCTTTCAGCTGATGGTTCTCAACAAGGAGCTCCTTCATCTGCTCTAGCAGTTCCTCTGGGGTGAAGGTGTCCAGGTTTGGATGAGCCCGATTAGGGGGTCCATTTCCTGGGCTTTCATTAGGACTGTCCCCTTTTTCTGTCAGGCAGCTGAGTGGCTGGTGGGACATGGCAGCAGTTCTTCTGGAAAAGTCACAAACTGAAAATACAGCCATCCCCCCTTGGCAAGGAGGTCTTCATAAATCCCATAAACTATTTGTAATCACAAATATTTATCCCAAGTGTTGAATATTTTATCTCCAATTACATTTTGAAGCATAGTCAATTCTTCCTTTTAAGCAAAAAAGGTATTGCCTAGTTTCAGGATGTGTGTATGGGTCTGTAAAGGACCACAGTGAGGAGTTTAGAAAATGCAGGAGCAACAGAAGGGATATGATGATGATCAGGAACCCTAACACAAGGAACCCAGACGGTTTTCTATAACACAGACCTCACATGTGCATAATTTGTAGACATCATTAAATACATTTCCCCATAGAAATCTCCAAGGTCAAACTCCATATTCTGGGTGAATTACATGGCATGTGAACCTGTTTAAAAGTCCACATTTCATTTCTGGTATTTTTGATTAAGACAGAAAGGGAAAACTAACATTTTACTGAATGCTGCCGCCTATGTGCTGATTACTATATCATACCTGTCACTGCCTCGAATTTTCAACACAACTCAGATATACAGTTATCTACAGGTTCAGCCCAAGGTCACTTAATAAGTGGCACACCAGGTAGTAAAGATGATCCCAAAGCCAATCTTATAATACAATAATGATTGTTATGATTGTGTCCCATCAAGTCAGTTCTGACTCACAGAGATCCTGCATAAGGTTTCTGAGAGCAGCCAGTGAGTTTGAACTGCCAACCTTGCAGCCACCAGTCCAGTGCTTACCCTACAGTGAATATTTAGTATTATTATATAAATATATATTATATAATTTTACAAATCAAATGGATAGGACTAAGAAATTTTCCTTGGTTATTGCATATTCTGAAAATATTTCTACACATACCACTTAATTTTGTAGAGGGGACAACATGAGCATACAAACAGAGGAGTGTATCTCAGCTCTCCTTCTGTATTACCTACCACCCGGGAATACAGTTAAGCTCGGGGGAGAAAAGCACACAGAATCTGCATTTGCTAATGGGCAACAACTTAAAATGAGGAGAAACAGCTGTAAACATCCATTGAAAATTGGAACATGGAATGTACGAAGTATGAATTTGGGAAAATTGGAAGTGGTCAAAAATGAA